TTGGCTCTGGGATCTCCGTACGCCGAACAGGAAAACATGTAAGGCCTCGGTCCTTAAGATATGGCATGTTGAGATACCACCCCGCTAAGCTAACTTCTGCTTGTCTTGGCTATCTATCACAAACTAATACGGGGACAGGGACTGGATGTATGGAAGCGTTGATAGTACCGACAGTGTCAAGCACTTAGGAAGATATGTTCGAAGCGGAGTGGGCGAGAATGATGGAAGAAATAGATAATTCATATATGCTTAAGTACAGGATTTATTACCTGTGGCATATACATTAGATGCTTAGGACTCGGTTTTGTTCTGTTATTAGGTGATTCAGAGTAGCAATGTCTATTCAGCAGTCACAAGCATCGATTTATCAATACTACCTAAGTATCTCGTTGAAGTAAGGCACTGGTTTGTTACTCCTAGTCTCTAGGACGTCTCAAAGTGATATCAGATGTAATATTATCTGTCTAAACATATTCTAACTGGAAGCATTGCTGTACAAAGCTAGTGATTGAGTGATATAGCATAACTCTTCGAAGTAAGAGTACGTTACTGGATGGCGATACCTTACTAATCTTCCATAGGAAATGAGTTTTAGCAAGTCGATATCCAGGGGGATTACTCTTTTCCTCAACCAGTGCGCAAGTTCCCTCGCGAATCTTTGGGGTATTATCTGGCTAACTAGCATTCCAGATTCTGGAGTCCTAGTTCTATGAGAATTTATGATAAACATTTGTTTATTGTAAATGGCAAAATAATTTTACTGGTATGGTGTCAAAGGGCATATCATAGTTGTGCTAGTCTCACAGGGGAGACGCCCAATAACTAGCAAAATGCTCAAACACATAAAAATAGTAGATTCTATGCCATATGATCTATTAAACTTCACCACACATTCATCATCTTTGGCAAGTGTTGGTTCCCACAATTTTCCTATTCACCACGGGGAATACATATGTCGCACTGAGTGGAGCTCTGACTTAGTCAACCCTCTTGAATGGGCCCATTTCTGCTATAAGATGCTCTAGTGTCACGAGTTTCGACGCAAAGTCCGTATAGTAACGTTCTTGTAGGCACTGAACTAGTGAAAAACATTATATGTGACTTTGTTAAGGGACGAGATAGGATATCATTATCTAAAACTTACCTCAAAGCAACACTATATCTATCCAGTGTTAGAATCACGGCAATATCAATCCCATTTAGAACAAGTATTTCCCTCGAATATATCAGTTCAGTATAGATACTTGATAAGAAGTAGATGAGCTAATCTCATGTGGGCCGAATACTTTTAGGGCGAATCTTGACCAAAATATTTCCTGAGTGGGACCAAAACTCTCGCGTAATTTTTATCGACTAGCATTACTCGGAAATGGCAATGGGACCACAATAAAAATTGAATTAACTGTAAGAAAAAGGCAAAAAGAACTCCGAATCGGGGAATCGAACCCCGGGCTTGACGGTCCTTCAGCTAGAAGGCTTTTGAGAGCGTCAAATGTTAGCCACTACACCAATTCGGATATGAAAATTTGTTGAAAACTATCATTTATATATTTCCTGCGCCTGTGCATGATTGAAGTACTATACGCACCAAGTACAGCAATGATAGACGTTCAATGGAACTGTAGGATACTTTGATTTAGTTTCAATATAATTTATTAAGATGACTTCTACTCCTGCGGTTTTCATATCCCTTACACTCTGGTAGGCGTATTCCACCTTTGCCTCGCTATTACTGAGAGCCATGAATCTGTGAAGGTTCCTCTTGCTCTGATCGCTCAAGCGCTTATGAGCTCGAGGATCTTCGCAATATCTTTGTTGCATCTCCAGGCCCTGCACTGTCAAGCTGGCAATCGTCACTAGGGTTGGGCTGTAGTATTTACATATGCCTGTTAGATCAAAATTATTGTCATAAAGGCTTCGGATGCAACACGGATAATAATTACGCATTATTGAATAAATATGCATCGATGACGGCCTTGGTGGGTGGGCGATCGAAGAAGGTACCTATGCACCATCCCATCGACACCGGCATGTAGCATGTCTATTGTCCCCTGAACACTCTGGGCGTGCGCAACTGCGAGAAGGCCATTCTAGTGGGTAGGTTTGACGATGGCTCTCTGAAGCTGCACGGGTATCAATGTAGGCTTCATAGACAGACCGTTGCCATCTTCATATATTAGCTTTACATAATCGACCTTGCCGTTGAAACTTCCACATCAGCTTTACTCTGTATATTTGACTAGACGAAAATTCGGGCTATCGTCTAACTTCGTATCAGCATCTTCTAGAACTCCTGAGTATATGAGGGTCTCTACCTCATCCGAGCTAATATAGCAGGCGTTGGCCACCCTTCCTGATACAGTTGCAGCTTGGCTAGCGGTCTTTTAATCTGCCGAATCCGAGTCCTTTTCAGCCTGCTTCCTTAGTGTACCGACGTTCTCTGCCTCTTGGTGCATGGCACAGACAGTAATGAGGCTAAACTTCAAGCACTGCCTCGGCTTTGAATTGTTTTTGTCGACATTTGCGTGAATATGGCCATCGATAAGCCCGGGGAGTAGCGTGTGCCCTTTCTTGGAAACAACTATGGCGGCTGGGTCTAATATGGTTAGGGTAAGAGTCCAATAATGACATAGAATTGCGGTGATAAACACCGGACCGTCTGTCTTCTTAGATAGCAATAGACCTGCAACCTGATTGGCTAAATTGGTTCCATTGTTCTATAACAGGTAGGTATTGCGATGTTATAGAGATCCAGTTGGTCTTATACATACGTGCAGGACTTGACAGAAAATTTCCAAGACCTGGTGATACCCCGAGAAGAAATTCTGAATTATTTTCCTAACTCTATATTTTACCCACCTACGTATCCTAAATACCAGCTGATTTCCACCTGGAATTTCTAACAACTTTCGACTTTTGACCTCCTTTTACCGATGTCACATAGTTGTCAGTGGATCACAGAAGCTTGGCGCTCACTTTGTCGTTGATGAGTACCGAATTATCCGACACCTAGTCGCTATTATATGCTGTCAAGTTAAGCATAGAACATATAATATGAAAGATACCGTGAAGTGGGATTGCTTGGGCCAACATGTTTAGCGAGACACATTTCTTAGCCCTGCATCCAGGTATACCATATACGGCAAAGCCCCTGTCAGTAAACATAAAACACACTCCTCATCTTATGGGGCTACTAAGATGTTATCGACTGTTTAGTCAATGAGAATATGGGAAGTGAATTCAGATATTAATCACCCTGATCATCACGGTTATAATAGCGTATCACCATTACTTCTAACTGGGATCCTGGGAAAGTCCGTATTAAGTCTGGAGCAAGTCTCTTGAGAAAATATCGCAATGCTGCAGTTGTTTCATAACGAGATACATGATCACTTGCCCAGATATACATATTGGAATGTTTGCTTTTCTTTATATATTATGTTTATTAACATGAGGACTTGTCATATAACCTATAGTAGTGATAATTCTCGAATAGTGTATAGGGATGTGTTCTATGATATAAGAATCGATATGTGGATGTAGGCGGTTGAAGGGAAGGACGAGACAACGTAAATGATGATTAACTCAGGTAGTTGTATTCACCTAGATATCTCGTAGTCCTATTTCTCCTAGCTTTAGAACTTAACGGATTTATCTGATCTCAGGGCTAGTTTTAATCGTAGTGGCATCAAATTAAAGGAGCTTGGAAGGTAATAGCCATCGCTTTTATTACTTTCGAATCCTGGGTAAGGTGTATGATCAGATCCTACCTAATGCAAGAAAGTGCCATAAATCCAGTCGAATTTACTGTCAGCCAAATTTTGGATAAATGTGGCCATCCGGGCGATAGTGAGTTCGGGAACCCACGCACCAAGCCCTAGATATTATTCCATATAGTTAAACCTACTTATTGTTTTTGAATATAAACTAGGAAAGCTGCTACCGCTAGTCGGTTTAATATGCGACAGCATCTCCACAGGTGCTTCTTACATGATACTATTTTCAGGCGGATTTCCTCTCAATCTCCTCATCTCGGCGTCTGTTCACGTTCTGATATCTCCTCTATCTATCCATATTCATGAGCCGAGACGAGGCCCCCTAAGACTACTGGCGAAATTATATATTATATTACATCTAAGTCGGAAAGAATAATCAATCGGAGGGACATCTCGTAACATGCGGAACATGCTCGAAAAGATTATTGGGAAGGAAAGGAGTTTATGTTTGACGATTCCCTATACTGTAACTGCATCAATAAATTACATGAATCTCTACATAAAAGTTGTAACCGAAATTTAGGAGAATAAGAAGCTCTGACCTTCGGATTTGAACAACATAACTAGCCATAGGACTGGCCCTATCTCGAATCAGTGCAAGAAGTTGAGATTATTCTTGATGGTTAGAACATAGAGTTTGTATATGATCCTAGAAGATTCACTGAGCTTTTTGTTCGTCGCAGCGGTAATTAGGAACCGGAATGTCAGGTAGATGACCAAAGACCAGAGCAAAGAGTGTGACGGTAAAGACTTGACTGACACAACTCACCACCATGAACTCTTAGTGTTCCAAGGTTAAAAGACTTAATGGAGATTTCTAGATGAAACGGTCCCTGGGTAATTATTAGTACTATTGTAATAATATTAGAGAACTAAGTTGCTATTTGATGTGAACTACTCCCTAAGTCTTGTACATATTTGTAAATTGTTGACGCATATCCTAAGTTGGATATAAGAAAGAGGTGGTTTAAACTAAGACTAGATTGAAATTAAGGTGATTAATCTGGAATATCCACGATAATAAGTTCTCTTAATAGTATTTTCAAGTGGGTTAGTATAAGAATGTAGAAATGAAGTTATCTCGACCTCCTTAAGACAAATGGTCTGTGTGAAGTATTATAAGTACTGTCATACGCACTGTCTAGGATAATATACCTAGGTACCTATGTAACCTATGTAACCACACTTGAATACTGTAGATAAGCCCCTCCATTAACCCCTCTACATCAATAAGAATCCAGATCGATAAGAAAAAAAAAATAATATTTGCGACGAAGTCAACTTAACAGCACGAAAGTATTCGGCTTTCTTAAGGACATATAACTACAATATGGCCCCGTACGATAGCGATTCGTCTGCTGGCGAAGAGGATGATTTTACCGAGACCAACGTGCTTCTCGGATATGCATCAAGAGACGCCGGCGATGATTTTATAAGTCGATTAGGTGGCCGTCCGGTATGCGATGCCCATTTTCTATATTTACTTCCTTTCTTATGCCTCACGACTAACGTCGGCGGTATGATATAGGAATGGTTGGACCCGAACAATGCGCCATCAGCTGCTCTCGCAAGATGCAAAATATGCAAGGATCTTATGGTCCTACTCCTACAGCTAGACGGCGGACTACCGGATCGCTTCCCCGGCCATGAGCGCCGACTATACGTCTTCTCTTGCCGGCGGAAGACATGTCGTCGAAAAGAGGGCAGCATCCGCGCTCTACGGAGCGTGCGCATAGCTCCTGGAAGCGCAACCGCAGCTGTTACAACTACAACGAAGGAAGAGAAGACGAAGCTGAAAGAAGAAAAGCCAAAATCACAACCACCATCCAACCTAGGGGAGACGCTCTTTGGCGCTCAGACGCTTGGCTCCCCATTCGGTTCCACCAACCCGTTTTCCACATCTACCACACCCTCACCCGGCGGTAATCCATTCGCTACCAGCGGAAACCCCTTCAGCAATCCCTCCTCCCCGCCTCCACCTGCTACGGGGACAGCCCTCGAACCCAAGCCAGAACCCTCCGCGCCATCTACCAACACACCCGCAGAAGACATTAACTCCCTACCCCGTACCTTCGCCCAAACCCTAAGCCTAAACAACAACACACAACAACAACAACTAACCCCCTCCCCCCAACCCCCTTCAGACCCCTGGCCCACCGAAGCCCACCAACCACCCCCCTACCCAATCGCCTACCTCTCCGACGCCGAGTTCGAGACCCTAGACCCGACCCCCGCGCCCAGCATCCCGCAAAACACGCGCCTGGTCGACGTCAACGACGACGACGCCGCCGCCAAAGGCGGCAAGGAAGACCGCGAAGTCTTCGAGTCCGCCATGGACGCCGCCTTCCAGCGCTTCGCCGACCGATTAGCGCAGAACCCCGAACAGGCCATCCGGTACGAGTTCGGCGGGCAGCCGCTGCTGTACTCGAAGACGGATGCCGTGGGGAGGCTGTTTGCGGCGCCTGGGACCGGGGCGGGGGCGACTGCGGCGAAGGGGTTGCCGCGGTGTGGGAATTGTGGTTCTGCGCGCACTTTTGAGGTGCAGATGACGCCGCATGCGATTACGGAGTTGGAGGCTGAGGAGTTGTCTCTTGAAGGTATGGATTGGGGTACTGTTATTGTTGGGGTGTGCGAGAAAGACTGTCAGGCTCGTGGTGTGTCCGAGGGCGAAGTGGGATACCTCGAGGAATGGGCTGGTGTGCAGTGGGAGGAATTAACTGCTACGGGTGCTCGACGATAGTAGGCGAGTTGATGAGCGTTACGTGTCTATGTAGTGAGTATGGTATGAGGGAAAGGAGAAGGGGAAAAGCAAGTGTTTGTGGATGGTGGAGAACTGCAGAGAAGGATTAATTGAGACCGAAGAGACTAAGCATATCTCTTCATGCTATTCCCTGCTCCTACTAGACCAAAACCCTCAATAATCTAGCTGCATTGCTTCGGTGGATATCAAAGTCTAACCATTAAATAGACAATTTTGTAGTGTGAGGGACAAGGGTAATGAGACTACGTAATGAAAAGGAAAGATGCATTATGTTCGTTCAGATCGTGATTTTTATTCATTTCTGATATCTCATGGCCCGCCTATCTAACGACGGCGGAGCAAACAGCACATCAAATCCGGAAATTACCGAACTCGTCATCCGTAACGCCAAAGACGTATTGTCGTCTTTCCCAATGCTGTTTTAGTCTCGCTACCGATCCACCACCGTTGCCGCCAAAGTCGTAACCCCCTAGACAAGTTGTCCTAGGTAAGATTATACGGTCTCCTCCCAGGCCCGTCTGATGACTCTCGAGAACATGTCTACGTTGACATCCTCGCGGACTTCGCTCTTCTTGGCCTCGTTCTCGGGGTTGCGGGGGATGTTGACGAGGGCACCTTCGACCTTCCAGCCGACGGTCTCGGAGACGAACTCAACGGCAGCCTGGCCCTCGAGGCCGAGCCACTGCTCAAGCACGGACAGCTCAATCTCGCGGTAGGCGTGGCTAATGAGGTTGGCGATGCGGCCGCGGATCAAGTCCTCGAAGCCGTCGATGTCGGTGGTTAGATCGGCATACAGATCGTCCGAATCCAGCGTCGCCCAGAACCGCGCGTACTGCGCACCCTGCAGCTGCAGGTTCAGCTCCCGCAGCTTGGAGATGGCCTCAGGTAGCTCGGCACGCTGGTTAGGCGCCACGAGGTTGGGAGAGATCAGGTGCAGCGCGAGGGAGAACTGCGGCGACGGGAACAGAGTAAGGGACTTGACTAAGATGTTTGTGATGACCTCATCCTTAACGCGGTCGGGGTTTAGTTGGTATCTAGGATTTGTATTTATGGTTAGCATCCCTGGTGATGTTACCGTGACATATAGAGACGTATATAAGTAGCGCGAGGGGAAGTCGACTTGGAGGTCAGGCAGAACTAATAGAGACATCACAACGGTAGACGTTTTGACTAAACGTCGCTACCCGTCAGGTAATAGGAAACGTGAATAATTGGATCATCGTTCCAACCAAGGAAGACAGCAATAACATTTTAAATATTTAGAAAAATACTCACAGCTTCAATAAGGTCCGATTCGCATTGGAATCGGTATATCTGTTTTCGCACTGGTGGCGTAGATAGTCCTCCAGGTTACCCACGGCTTCGGGGTTGTATCGCTCTAGGCCGTTGATGATATTGGTGACGTCCTCGGGACGCTCTTGGGGGTCTTCGGAATCCATCTTGTAGGTGGTCGCGAGGAAGTCGAAGCGAGTCCTTTCACGATGGTCGAGGTTCAGGGAAAAAGTCGATTTGGTGGGGCTGTGATCAAAGTTGCCGAAGTTTTGGAATTGTCAAACTGCGTGTGCGCGCTAGCACGAAAACCGATAGGCGTATGCATAAGAGTATGCAGTTATCAGCAATATTTGATACGCACACAAATATGCATTTATGAGGACGGTACCTACCTCGCCCAAGAAATCGGAAGCTTCAAGATTGAACCTGAATGATCTATTTTTGTTAACTTTCAGCAAAAATAAACAATAACACGATGATTCACATTATGTAACATCAAATTTCACTGTCAAATGCTAAGAGAGAATGGGCAATTAAGAAAGTCTATTATCAATAACCATATTCATCGTCTAATACGGTTGGTATCTCTACGCCTCCCATGTCACCTCCCATATCGCCTCTACCTAGTCCCTACCAACTCCCCATCTAGCCTAGTGTTCCAACGATGATGCTTTACGAAATAATGTCACTTATTCAACAACCAAGAGACTTTGGCCAGTCATCTCCTCGGGCACTGGTAGACCCATAGCCGTCAAGATTGTTGGGGCGACGTCTCCAAGAACACCATCGGCCTTCTTCAATGACCAGCCCTTAGGTGCGTTGTCCATGATGAAGGGAACCTTGTTAGTCGTGTGAGAGGTCTTGGGCTTGCCATCGGGAAACTTCATCTCTTCGGCGTTGCCGTGGTCGGCAGTGATAAAGAGGATATAACCCTCTTTCTTACAGGCATCGCGGATTAGGCCAATGGCCTTGTCAGTGGCTTCGCAGCCAATGATTGCTGCTTCGTACACACCTGTGTGACCCACCATATCCGGGGGAGCAAAGTTGTTCATGACGAACGGGAACTCTTGCTCCGCAAGTCGCTTGCAGACCTGCTTCGCAACACCGTCGGCACTCATCTCAGGAGCCTTGTCATATGTCGCGACGGACTTGTTGGAAGGCACCAAGTCCTGAGATTCGTCTCGTGTCTCTAGAGCAAAGACCTTCTCGACACCACCGTTGAAGAAGAATGTTACGTGAGCATATTTCTCAGTCTCGGCGATGTGGACTTGCTTGACGCCTTGCTTGCCAAGCCACTCGGCCAATACGTTGCCCATATGTTGAGGCTTAAAGGCAATTTCGAAGGGGTAGTCGGCCTTGTATTGTGTCATGGTTACGAGGTTAATCTTAGGGTAAGGGAAGTCGGGCCTGGGCGACCGGTCAACTCCTCCGAGCAGCTGAGTGATCTGTCGGACACGGTCCGATCGGTAGTTGAAGAAGAAAACCTCGTCGCCATCCTTGATCCGTGTTTCTTGGCCACCGACGATAATGGGTTTAAGGAACTCATCGTTCTCGCCCTTCTCGTACCGTTCCTTGACGGTCTTGACAGGATCGGAGCTCTCTTCTCCTTCTCCTAGAATCATGCCCTTCAGAGCAAGCTCAACTCTCTCCCATCTCTTGTCACGGTCCATAGCGTAGTATCGACCAACAACGGTAGCTATCTCTCCAATACCAATTTCCTTCGCTGTGTCGACGAGCTCCTGCATATAGCTAGCTCCTGACTTGGGGTCGGTATCACGGCCGTCGCCAAAGAAGTGGATATAGACCTTGGGGACTCCGGCGGCTTTGGCGGCTTTTAGGAGAGCGTACAGGTGGGTTTGTTTGGCGTGCTAAATAGTCAAGTTAGCAACAAGGTCTAGGGGATTCCAAAGCGATTTGACGTACCACTCCACCGTGAGAGACCAGACCACACAGGTGGAGCCTCCCCGTACCATTCTTAGCTCTCTCAAGAACATTCTTGATGACCTCGTTACTGGAAAGCTCGCCCTTCTTGATGGTCAGGTCGATTCGGACGACATCTTGCCATACTACTCTTCCAGCTCCAATGTTCAAGTGGCCAACTTCCGAGTTACCCATGAGGCCCTCGGGAAGTCCGACGGCGAGAGAGGAAGCATCTAATTCGGTAAATCCGGTTGCACTCTTGGACAGGTCGTCCATGACGGGGGTCTTGGCAGCAGCGATAGCATCGCCATTTTTAGGCGAGTCGGCGGAGGGGATACCCCAACCATCAATCACGACTGTAAGTTCGTAAGGCGTAGAAGATTAGCCAGCCAATCTCGAGATATATGAGGAAGTAGCAAGCAGAAGTAAAGTAATCAGGCTTTCTAGGCCCAGTTCGAGTGATTTGAGGAGGAGGGGCAAGAGAAACAGAAAAAATAGAGGGATAGGACGTACTCAGACACGCCTTTTGCTTCGTCGCAGCCATTCTTGCTTTTAAGTTATCTTTTAGCTTTTAGTTTAACAACAGTATAGAAAAAATCTTAGGGTAGAGGTCTAAGGAAGAAGAAAGAGAAAGGGGAATGTTGAGTGATTTTCTACGGAGGTAATGGCTTGGACTTTGAAGTGTTGAGATGTTTCGCATGACGGTGGGCTGCTGGGCTGCTATGGACTAGGGGTGGCTTATACATAGTGGGGGCCGGATAACCCCACCATGTCGAAACTGCAGAGGTGAATTGTACATAACTTGACGTCAATGCGCACACCCCACATATCGGAGGGACCAGCTCAGATCTCCGACCCGCTGGATGGAACGCGGTCCGCCCTATACATAATACAACACCAATAGCCAAATCATCGCTAGCGAAACTATTGACCTATTGACAATCACGTCTAGGTTAGGTCTATTAATAGGGTTTAAGGCTGATTTCAGCTGCCCCTTCGCCATCAAGGTTCACCTTTACGTAAACTACCACCGCAAATCAGCTTTAACTAGATTCCAAACAGCTATTGACAAAGTACTTACTAGGTCACCTCTGAATGTCTTTGTCCTCAGCTAAACCCCGAAGCCTCTTATTCAACTTTACGTTTTTCTATCAAGACGTCACGTCACATTTGCATTCATAATGGCATCGACAACATCAGCACCAAATACTCAAGTTCTCGCCATGCCCGATGGCCTCAACCCCGACACTCTCGACACCCTGACCGAACTCGCCGTGCTGCTCAACCGCCTGCGCACCCCCTCCAGCACCGCAACAGGCAACACGCCCGCACCCACGCCCTCCCAGCAGCCTCCTCCCCCTCCGTCCCACCGGCACGCGCAGCCGCAGAACCAGTCCCAGGCGCAAACCAACAACGGCGCCACGACCACCACCAACACGGGCGAGCTGGCCCTCAAGGAGATCCCGCCTGCCGCTGACGTCCTTAAGCACCGATTCCAGCGCGCGCGCGTGTTGATCCGCGGCCTGCCCGATATGAACCGCACCATACCCAACCAGGAAACCGAGATCGCGGCGCTGGAGGCGCGGCTCGCGCGGCAGCGGGATATGCTGGATAAGCTGCGCGAGATGGGCGCGCAGTTGGCGGCGCAGCAGGACGATGGGGATCGCGATAGGATGATTACGGATTAAGTGAGTGGCGGTAAGGGAATACGCGAAAAAGATAAACCAGAAAAATGACTACGGGTTGGTTGGTTGGTTCGTCGTTAGGTATGCGCGGTGCAGAAGCTGTTGTATACTCGCATTGGCATGGAGTTTCGGTGTTCAGGCTATTTCACGGTACGGTACGATACCACGAGGCAGCGTCAGGGGGACCAGGTGTGGGAATATAGCAAAGGTTAATCATTCATAAAAAACTACTTGGGAATTGTGTGTATTACAATATTACACAGGATATGACCGCAATATGAACCGACGCCATACGCTAGACCCGTGCTTATACATCGAAACTCGAACAAGGAGACAGCCTCAGAAGTGTGTTTGGAAGAGATTAGGATAGTCATGAGCTGAGAACACCAGCTCTGCGCAGTATATCAACCGTGCTGAGACTAGGACTTCCACACACGGAATTCTTCCACACGTCCTCCGGGATACGCTTCTCCTCGGGCAAGACGACCCAGTTCGGAGATGGTTCGGTCTTCAGCCATTTGAAGTCGTCAACCTGGTCCCACTGGCTCTCGCCCTTTATCTCCAATTTAGTAGCCTATTGCAAGATTATCAGCACATCTTGTTTATATATATAGTTCGAGGGAACTTACATAGAGCTCCGGTAGAGGTGCGAATCGCATCCCCGAGCAGTCTTCGATAATGGGATGGCTTGAGCAATGGAGATATACATCAACATTCTCGCACTCATGAATACGAACTTGTCGCGCAGCCACCACAACTATGCTATTCCGCAGTCCGGTGATGTGAACCGGACCCGCAACATGGCCAGCGATAATCAAGCTCTCCCTAATATTATTTAACGCCAGACCAGCAAACGGTGTTCCCGCGCTTGTAGGTGCTGTCATATCCACGACGCATCGCTCGAGGTTCGTCAGACTTCCCGAAGACGTAGCCCTAGATGCTGTCGAGGGCAGCATAATGTGCAGTCCGGAGTGGTCGTAGATAGAAATACTCTTGGCATTAGAGAAACTCGGCTTTCTCACACCTGATTGTTGTTCAAGCTCTTCATTGTAGCTCTTCGCTATTTCGGCTGCGGTTCCTGCGGCGTCACGTTTTGCTGCATCCAAGACCGGCGACTGCCTAGATCCCACATTGTTGAAGGAGTTACGTTGGCGGGGATCGGCTCGAGGTTCTGCTCCCGGTGCTGCTTTGGAGGATTTTGACTTGAACTGGAATCTTGACTTCGGGGCAAACTTGGCCGTCGTCTCGTTGAGTTTGTCTGTGAGGGCTTTCATAGCCTACCCAGATGTGAGAATGAAGATCAATATTTACCAGGCGATGAGTGGTTGGTACCTGAGCATATGTTCGTTGGTCGTAGGCCGGGATATAATCGCCAGCGTCCATAACCTCGTTAGACAGGCGAGATATTCCAGCTAGGACCATGTCGATGCAGTCCTGTCTCTCGCCGCCGACAGGGGATAGAGTCGCAAGATCATCGATTTGGGTTTGTATAGCTTTGATGAGTCAGTCTGAAGGGTAATCACGCAATGCCAGTAAGGATAATCTCACCTGTTATTTCGGCTTGGAAATACCGAAAGAACTTCTCTTTAGAGTCGGATATATTGCGCTCTGCCATTACTCCCGGGTGGGTGTTGGGAGTTGGAATGGGTCTAAAAGGAATAAAAACTTGAGTTTCCATACTGAATAAGATACAAATTGCGAAACAATATTCTGAATAGATAGGTAGCTACCTATGCTCTGATTATTTTTGAAAGTAATACCTTTATTTTCACTTGCTGCCTAAGCTAAAATCTACTGCTGCAAGCTCACAATGGACACGGAGCAACTTGGGATGTGATCGCAGTGGTATTATATATCTCTAGTTTCGGAAGAATGCAGCGCGATGTGATGTAATGCCTTGGGTGTAAGCAATCGGGACAAGAATAGGACAACGCAGGGAGCTACGATGCCGTGCTGCAAGGTGTCGTTGATGGAGACGGGATGCTTGAATGGTTAGGAGCATCCGAAAAATATGTGTTGGAGAGAATCGGCGTTGATTAATTGGTTTGACATAACCCTGTTTGGCGGGGTAGCGCATGACGCTAAGGTATCCACCAATCATAGTCGTTTCATCTCCCCCATGCACTTAAGGTAGTGCTACCTCATCAAGCCCCTCATGGAAGTCCCCTAATTTGATCTGACGTAGCCCTGTATTGTACCGATCCGGCCCTTGCCCGTCTAACTCATGTCCTCAACGATCATTAGGTCTCTCCCCGAATCTTAAAAGTCAATTTATTAGGTTACTAACTCGCCAAACCACCATACATGTTAGACATTTCCCATTCGTCCATATAATATCCGTAAATACCCAATCTATCCAGTTCCACTTCGGCTTCATACGGCCCGAATGTCTCCTGGCATCGGAAGAGAACCTTGGAGCTATGTATGTCACCGCATGTGAAGTTCTACTATTCGACCAGGTCCAGAACCTTTAGGATAAGCAGTTCCTAAATACACCAATACAGGCACGGATACGACTTTTACAGATGTTATACATGGCGATACCAATGTTAGGTAAATATTTGTAGAAATTGGCTACCTAAGCTAAGAATATGGAAATACTAAGCTACAGAAGCCCCTACACGACTGATTCCCTTATACCATTTTAAAAGTCTCACATCTCGCAGCAGATTATCCATCTATCTTCCACAGTTGCGAGTCGTGCACACGGTGACCTCGTGGATGTACCTGATCTTGCCGCCCTCAACCCGGATAAAGTTGGTGCTAGGCGTGCCATCGGGCTTCCCCGCGTCGATGAACGGGAAGTTGTTGAAGATGTCGAGACCGCCGACTTCCTCGTCGATGACGTACCGGCGGTTCTCGACCTTGAATGGCTCCGGGAACTGCGGCATCACGCATGTGTTGGCTGTCGGTCGCGAGCCCCCCGTGTAAGAGCCACCCTCGAGACGAGCGCACGGTGTTCCGTAAGGGACCGTGACGGTTCCGTCGCCCCAGCTGTCGAGGTACGCATCGCCGGCGGCCTGGATGACCTCGCGGCTGTCGCGCTTGTCCTCCGGGATCGTGTCCCACTTCTCCTGCTTGGTCCAGTAGAGCTGTCCCGTCGCGTTGAACGCCCAGTCGCCTTGGTCCGCGACAACCGACTGCACGGCCGTGATCTTGTCGTCGGTGAAGAGCAGGCGCGTGTGGATGACGTACGGGTTCTTGTTGGTAGCCGCGGACAGCTCCGTAAACGTGGCGCATTGGGTTGTGTCGTGCAGACTGCGGTTGAAGTCGATGGTGATGGCTTGGCTTAGAATGCCTTTCTTGATATCCCCCGGCGTGTCGTTCTCCAAGTAGCTGACGTTGCTAGCCAAGGAAGGCAGATTCGGGTCTCCGGCGGCTTGCGCTTTGACGTATGCCGCTGTGGCCTCCTGAAGCAATTCTCGGGTGCATGCTGCTGAGGCCGGCGAGGCGAGACCCGCGCCCAGTAAAAGTAGCGAATAGATCATTGCTCCTGTTCTTTAGTGCTCCTATTATATCTCAAATGTGTTCTAAATATGCAATTGCTTCCCCAAGCTGCTCATGAGCATTGTCGCGTCGAGACTGTCGCTTCATTTTGTAGGAGGCGAGGCCGGAAAAGGAGGGGCTCCTGAATTTTGCCTCATTTTGGCTTATATAGCCGGCTTAAAGCATCATGGCACTTGCAGAAGATAAGGATGAACTGCTACCTGCACCGCTTAGGAGTTAGAACGCGATAGGTTACCTTACATTAAACCGAGTGGTTACTATTTCTGGTCACTGTTGCCTCCAAATCATGCTGCTAATTAATAAGAAATAGATTTGCTGTGTAATCTTACTTATATGAAGGTGGATATTGTCGAACGTAAGATATCCTAACAGATCTTACTCCTCCGGGATCTACTGCACTAGATCTCGGCACTTTAGCCGTAATCCTAAGACTGCCGGACTCCGAACCGGCCAGAACGCGGCAGTCCACAATCTTCGGCAGTGACAATATAGTAACTCTATAGTAATAGTGGCAAGACATGTGCTTGGCTAACAATACAGCACACATCGATAGATTGAAATGTAGAAATCGGTTATATTGGTCGTGTAGATAAGACGAATAATTGGTATCATGGTAGCAGGGAACGTTCATGCTAGAATTCAGGCGTGGTCCTCTTAACAATCAATCACAATCCTTCCCTTACCACGGCTCACACAGGCCAACATACTGCTCTCCTTCTGCTCGTCTTCGAGGGCTATACCTTGATGAACAACCTTCCCTTTGCAGACGTCCACTGTGCAGGTTCCACAATTTCCCACGAGGCACGAGGATTCTATCTCGAAACCGGCTTCGTTAAGGATGTCCAATAATGATTTCTCTCGAGGTACCTGAAGAACCTCCCCGGTCTTTTTAATCTCGGCTTCAAATGGGTCGCCAGTGCCAGTTCCAGCGCCGCCAAAGTCCTCGAAATGGGTCTGGGATCGGGGATAGCCCAACTTCGTTGTTGCGTCACGACAAGCGGTAAGCAGCGACGATGGGCCGCAGCAGTAGACTAAAGTCTTGCAACTATCCCTGCAATCGTCTGGCGATGGAATGAGCGCAGCTACATCTAACCGTTTGCCATCGCTCTTGGCATAAATAGTAGTCCTGCTGGCTGGTAGATGATCAAGGTATGCGGCCTCCTTTTTGCTGCGGACAGCGTAGTGAATCTCGAAGTCGGCAGATTTCTTCTCGAGAGCCCTAATCTCGCCAATGAAGGCGGTGACGCCAATGCCACCGAAAATAAAGACGTGCCTTGTTGGTGTATCGACTTGGTCGCTACTTAGTATAGGAATGGCTGCATTGTGTCCCTTGGCTACCTCCAGAATATCGCCAATTTGCAAGTTATCGTGTAAATATAGCGATCCACCTCTTGAATCATCATCTTTCGCGATTCCCAGCTCAAAGGATCTCATATCACCCGACACTACCGAATAAGCTCTGGTGAACTTGGAATCTGGTCCGAACCTGAGACGCACATGAGGAAAGCGCCCGAAATTCAAATCTTCCACGTCCGTGCTAGGTTCCTCGGACTCGAATACTAACTTTTGCACTCTCGGAGTGAGCCTGGTCTTTTCAACCAACTTATACAAGTGCCACGGCACAGCAAAGTTACCTAGGAGACGTTGATTCATGTTCTCGATCCCTTTGGAAAGTCTGTTCTGGGTTAAATCAACAAATTCCAGGCTGAGCCCCTCCAGTTTACTAATCTTCTCAATCGCTTCCATATTATTGGAGTCCGTATAAAGAATATAGTGTAGTCTTGAGAGAGACCATCGTGGGTTGATACGTTCAATCAGTTCGATCGGGTCGCCTTCTTGGACATCACCTCCCTGGAGAACTCGATAGTACCATCCGGTAAATCCGGTACTCTGGATGAGTCTTGACATCTTCTTGTACTCAAATCGGTGGTTCAGCTTATAGCAGGGCTGCCTTAGCATGGTCACCTGGACAATAGCGTCTGGTCCCAACCGGAACTTGTCTCCGATGCATATATTGGCTTCCGAGAGATGCGCGGAAGATATATTCTCGCCGAACGCTCCAACTTTGAACTTGTGAGCACGTTCCGGTAAGATATTCCTCCATTCCTCATAGTGGCGGGGATCATAATGATGAATGGCGTTATCTGGGCTATTGTGGTTGATATACTGGCGCTCGTCACCCTCGAGACCGCCTGCTGTAAGCCGAATCTTGCCTTGCCGGGGTTGCTTGTTGATCGCCGACATCAAACCTTTGACACCCCCGAAAGGCCTGGTTTTTCCCGTCCGCAAACTCACAATAAAATCCTCCGGTGGGAGCGGAGCTAGATTGGGATCTGGTCCGGAGAATTGGGAACCCATGATTACCTAGAGATCGCACTGTGAAGTAATATGTTCAAATCTCGAGAGGGAACAAGTATCCGAGTATCCAGATACGAAAGAAATGGGATCCTTGGGGAAACTAGAGAATTAGGTAGGTTAGTAATCTATATGCTCGACTCGTAACGGGTGTTAGTTCTTACGCGATCCCAGTCATACATGTACCCAGGCTAATGAAGTCGGCAATTCCGAAAAGCGCGATCTTGATAGGGTCTAGATTGTATAGGAGCTTATCGGATGCCGCCGTGGGCTTTGACGTGACTGGCCACAATGAGGACATATAAAAGGTAGCTAATAATGCACTCATGATCATGAAATCGAATTTATTTATCAAAATTATATCGGAATAAATGTTATAACAATAGGCAGGTATGTTGGTGAGTAAGGGAATGCTGCTTTGACAGTTGTAACAGTGCTGAGTATCTAACGTACCAAGGTCCTAGGTAGGTACCCTATGATAAAACATTCAAATTTCATACTCCCTAACCTAGGTTAGTTGTGCCCTTTATCTTAGTCTTCAGCCGTTCTTTAAGTCGCCTATTCGCTCGATCGAGGCGGTCTAGACAAGTATGAAATGTATGAGTTAACAGCTATTTAGTAGTGACCGTCTCCTGGGTTCGGTTCCGATAACTTGAAGTAACTAAGTCTAAGACACATGCGGGTTAAATAGACTGGATCGATTGTAAATTCTCCAATAAATTCTTTACCCCGGATTTGACTAGATTGTATAGATCGGAACCTTCCGCAGCTAATGAGGTGATGATGAATATGTGACGCGGACCAGCATTAACATAAAGGCAAATCAGTAGCTCCCTACTAGTCCATTTGAAATCCCCATGTCGACTCTAAGAAGAATGAATTTATCAAATAGACTTTTTAACTATATGACTGACATTGCTAGACGTAAAGTTTAATAGCCATCAGGCGTAGTTAGTGTAGGTAGCGAGTAATGAACATAGATTCTAACACTTTCTATCTCTACAACTTGGAGCAGAAAATGATGGCTCTGGGGAAATCTATATTCTCGTCACCATTGCTATCAGTCTTGAGGATTAACGTTGACGTGTCAGCGCCAACGTGACTGTTGCATCAACCTACTGTCGGTTGCTCTCATAACTCATAACCCATTCCGTTTTGTATACGGTGGACACCATTGCTACGACCGAAGCTACGACACCCAATGGTGCCGTGATGGTTCCAAACAGTGAAATGATTGTCCTACCCCAGGCTGGCTTACTCATATATGGGTGTGCGTCTAAAGAGAAAGACAATCGTAGAAAGGCGCTGCCGGGAGTCGAAGAGCAGGACTTGGATACCTCTATATCGTTCACTTCGCCGACCCAAAAGTTCATTTTCAATATCGATTGGAGCAAGTCGGCTCTTGGACCAAGGGACCAATGGGGCTCGGAGCTTCGACATATGTCTCGCTTCCTCTTAGCTGACACGAGTCCGGCCGTATTGTTTTGGGGGGAGTCCTCCTCTGTCATTTATAATGAAGCCTACCTTCCGATGCTGGGGAATAAACACCCAGAGTCCATGGGGATGGATGCTTCCCAGGTGTTCTCTACCATCTGGGACCAACTCTCCGGGGAAATCTCTTCGCAGCGACGAACCGGCCAAACATGTACGTGTACGAGCACCAGGCTGCTAATAGAAAGGAACGGCCATGTTGAAGAGACTTATTTTGATTGGAAGCTTATCCCGATCACTAACGACGAAGGAGAAGTGAAAGGGTCGTACGGAATACCCATAGACAGGACCGAAGACGTTATTCGCTCAAGACAGAACGAATGCATTCAGCAACTATCCCGCCACACCGCAACAGCGAACAACATGAAGGAACTATGGCGTACACTACTAACCGGACTTAGCTACAATAACAAGGACATCCCGTTTGCGCTGTTATACTCATTAGACGAGCAACGTGGCATTAATTCCACCCCCAGTCTGCCTAACTATCCGTGCCACTTAGAGGGTATCATTGGAATAGACAACGAGCATGTCATGGGACAGGAATATCTCGATCTCTCATGCGATATTGATGGGTTTGCACCGACTATGCTCAAGACACTGAAATGCGACTCGGTGCTCATATTAGAAGAAAGCGACCCGTCACTACATAAACTACTAAACGGTATTGGATGGAAAGGATATATGTTAGCTAAGGAATTCGCAATCGTATCGATCAAAGACGATTCTAAAATAGCGGCCTTCATGGTAGTCGGCCTGAACCCTTATCGAAGGTACAGCAGCGAATTTTGCGAGTTCTTGAAACTGGTAGCAGATGTTGCGGCGTCACAGGTATCGCGGGCTAGGTTATCGGAAGAAGTTTCACGCCATAACGACTTGGCTAAACGAGCTCAGCTGGATCGTAAACGAAGCGATATGAGATTCTCTCGATTTGCCGAGCGGTCCATTGTTGGTCTTGCGGTTACCGATGTGAACGGCAAGGTAATATGGTTATCCAACTAAGAACAGTCGAGAATCCGAGTTAATTATCGATAGATTATATATGCGAATGATGTGTGGTATAAATTCTCTGGGCTCAATCCTGCCGACCAGGATCGTCTGAGCTGGTTCGACAGCGTAGTTCCAGAAGACGCCGATTTGCTTCGAGAATGGCAAGAAAAGGTTCTTGTTGATAAGACAGGAGGGACATTTCAGATTCGATCCAGAGAGCCATTCCGTCGAGGCCATATGTATTCAGACCATCGAACGGGGATCTGCGCCTGTTATTCGGACTTGGACGAGTCTGATGAGGTCGAAAGTATTATGATATTTACCATGGACATCAGCGAGCTTAAGTGGACTGAGCAGCAACTTATATCTCGTTCGAAAGCGCTTGAGGAGTCGGAGATAAAATGGCGGAACTACGCAGAACACTGCCCTCTTGGAATCTGCCGCACGGATGGGGATGGTATCGTCCAATATGGCAACGATGCGTGGCGTTCTTTCTACGGCTTTGGATCTGATAGCCTCTCTTCGAAAATTCCCCAGCCATGGCTACCATGGGTCCGAGAAGATTACTTAAAGCCGTGCAAAGACTTCTTCGCTCGACTCCAACAGCACACCGGGCCTGAATCTTTTGAGTTTCAGCTGATTGATAGGACTTATACTATTTCGGGTGGTGACAATACTGTGACTAATGGTGCCTACATCGCCGCTACCGGGTTTTCCCAATTCAGAGAGGATGGGACAGTTGACCATATAGATTTCTGGGTAACAGATATCAGTGGTCAGAAGATGGCGGTCAAGGTTCTGACAGATAAGATGGAAGAAGCTATTCGGTCAAAAACCCAACAGGAGAGGTTTATGGACATGATAAGCCACGAAATACGGAACCCCCTATCAGCGGTTCTGCACTGCAGCGAGGAAATTATTGAATCAGTTAAGAGAAGCTCCGCCACACTACATGCACTATTCGATGGCAAGCTGGCCATAAGCTCAAACAGCACCGCGGAAGAGATTTTGAAGAATGAGGTTGCCAGCACGCTAGACGCTGCCAATACGATTGTATACTGCGTACAGCACCAGAAGCAAATCGTCGACGACGTGTTGACAGTTTCAAAGCTCGACTCTGACCTACTGGTGGTATCTCCTATTCCCGTTCAACCGATGGCATTGGTTCGCTCGTCATTAAAGATCTTCGACGCCGAGCTGAAGATGACGGGTATCAAGCTAAAGGTTATTGAAGATGATTCCTTGTCCATGCTCGGCTTGGGGTGTGTTTTACTGGATCCGAACAGATTCCTCCAAATCGTGATTAATCTTGTCACGAACGCTATGAAATTCACAAAGGCCTCGAAGTTAAAGGAAATAGTTGTAACGGTAGCCGGAACGACATATCGCCCCCCCGAAAGTGAATTAGGGGTGGATTACGTGCCACGGAGATATTCACCCGCCAGCCCTGTACTAGATTCCTACCCCCTGAATAGTTTAATAGAGCCTCAACAAGATGTGTTTCTCTCCTTTTCCGTCAAAGACACGGGCAAGGGTTTAACAGAGAGCGAAAAGGCGCAGGTTTTCGATCGCTTCGCTCAGGCATCCCCGAAAACGCACATCGAGTACGGGGGATCGGGTCTCGGCCTCTTTATCTCTCGCCAGATTACCGAGATGCTAGGAGGCGAGATAGGAATGACCAGTAGCCCCGGATCGGGTTGCAAATTCGCATTTTACGTCAAGACCCAGCGTTGCGAGTTTCCTCGCCATTCTTCGAATGCTTCAGAACCCGTCGTTAGACTAAGTCGATCGCTCAGCATAGCTGCAGACGGGACCCCCATACAATCGGAAGACGAAGATGAAGTGTTTGGTTTCCCCCAAATATCAGAGGACCCATGTCCTCCACCACACGAACACCTGCCACTCAAGGTTCTCGTCGTCGAGGACAACCTGGTTAACCAAAAGGTCTTATGCAAGCAGCTACGTAACCACGACTTCATCGTGAAAGCCGCCAACCATGGAAAAGACGCCCTCGACGCCGTGCAGAATAACAAACCCCACGTCTCGCACGTAGAGAACCCGTTCGACGTGATCTTGTGCGATATCGAAATGCCGATCATGAACGGCATCGAGTTTACGAGGGAGATCCGGAGGCTAGAAGCAAACGGTGAACTCGAGGGGCACATACCGATACTCGGAGTTACCGCCAACGTGCGTAGCAAACAGGTTAGCGGTGCTATGGAAGTAGGCATGGTAGGTTGAGTCCAGACAATACACCATTTGATGCAATATTGACTCTCTTGTCTACATTAGGACGGCGTGACGACGAAGCCGTATCACATCGAGGAGCTTATTGCTCATATCGGAGATGTATGTGCTAAGTATTAAGTTCCGGAGGGGTTCTATTTGTTGTGTCATGCCTATACTACTCATGGAGAGTTCAAAGGAGTTAAAAGGAGTTCATGTGTATTAGCTATCGGGTTGGAGGGTCTGCTGTGTTATTGTATACGTAGCGTAGGTAGTTATCTAGGGACGCATTGAGGGTAGAAATGAAGTATAGGAAGGTTCTATTATATTCTATGTAGCTGGAATACCACATGTATATCTATATATATTATAATATATGAATATTTTCTCAAGATGTAAAATGGCGTGGAGGCCGAGAATATGAAAAGGGTGTAGATACAGTGCGAAACACGTATATGTTACGGTAAACAAGGGTGGCTCCGTAATAGATGTAAGATTTCGTTTAATATCCCCCCCTAAAAGACCGTACTATACTGTACATGAATCATCTATGCGCGTTTGTCTCATTAGTTCATATTATCATAGGCATTGCAGTGGCTTTATAACCTTTTCTAGAAACTGCTTCTATTGGTAATTTAAAGGCAAGAGTATAGTAAGAATACTGGCTGTACAAACATATCTTTACACTTTATTAGATTGGTAACCTACTCGAAAAGCAATCTAAAGGTTGAATTAAGGGGCTTGTAACATGATTACTTGAGTTCAATAACGATGTTAATGTAACTATCAGAAATGTAAAGATTCGAAATATTAGCGTGCTTCATGAAATATTAGTTCACTTTGTACATATTGCATCATGCTTATTAAGGCACTATTCGAACAGTTTTTCATATGCAAGGTCCTACAAATAAGGGGTGCTCAATGGTTCCCTCTAGTAGTAAACTCAAGACACCTATTAGGTTAATTTATTATCATAAGTCCCTTTAAACCTGTAGTTATGTAATCCGTGGAAGTCTTAGGTTAAAGCGATGTGAAAAAACGGAGATTGGAAGAATTAAGTACTGGTTAAGCTAACAGTCAATAACTTGAAGCCCTTCGCCAAAGTTAATACCATCGGTACTATCACTGACTGACACAAAAGGCAAGTTACATAAGATCATTTTCATCATATCATGACCATCGTTAAAACAACAGTAGACTCAATCTCTCAATAGAAGCACGATGATGTAAATACATCAACGGAATATGGAGGCTAAGCTAAGTACAAACTGTAGTAAATTCTAAGACGGCATTTCCGTGCTTTACAATATTAGTGTTCAATGTGTCAGTTTAACCGCGATTAAATAATCACGATAATGACTCTTGGAACTCGCTCGGCCCCCCGAGTGCACGTCCAGTGCATATGTAACCCATGGGGGTTTGCAAGACGTCCTGCGTCTTACGAAGTAGCGTGAGCCACTCGAGGAGGAAAGAGGACGGGTCGTCCGCAAACAGAGCGGGAGTTCCTCCATTCGCCTGCTTTGAATTTGCGCTTCCTCCAGACGACTCACCTGCCTCCTCAACCGATGATCGTATGTAACGGCTTAGCGGGTTCCATTCGGCCAAGCTAACATACAGTCGACCACCCAGTATACCCAGTTCGAATCTGAACCATTCCGGGAATTTGTAGGTGGGTGGTAGCGCTGGAAGAGTGTAATACTTGAAAGTATTGAAGATCTCCATAGTTTTCGTAACGGGCGCCGCATAGGCAATTAAGTATACGCGCGGGAATCGAGTATTGGTACGAAGCAAGGGAATCAACGACTCAGCCTCCTCGGGAATAATAACCAACGCGGTCTGTGTTGAGTGACTCCAGAGGATCCATTCCACGGGGCGCTGTTACCCCGTTGTCAGTGATTCCCGCCAAAATATTTAGTAACTATCACTTACCATGAAGTTGTCAGTCACGTTGTTCATTGTACACTTAACCGTTCGCCCGAATTCCGTCGACACGAAAATTCGCGAATCTGTTTCTCGCACGCCGAATTGCTTTCCCAGAGTAGTCCTTGCTACATATGTAAATGCGTGCTCGAATGCGGCATCCTTCTGATTCGATGACGTATGTTCTAGCACACCCGTGCGCGCGAAATATGAGATGACCGGATGGAGGCCCGGAAATGTCAGAGCTTCGTACCGGAGCGGCTTCTGTATCTGGCGCACTTGTTCAACTTGTACTTGAAGCTCGCGCTCTTGTTCGACCTCTTCCATAGCACCTATGTGAAGAGGGCCGCGCTCTCCGTGGGATTGGTTCAGTTGGTCGGCGAATTTCTGCAACTGTGGAGTAGACATGCGGTCTACGGTGCCTATTCGTGAACCTGCCAGAGCCCCACCATACAACTGCTCTAGTGTCTGGCGTTCCGGTTGCTGTATAGTCTCTAGCAGTTTTGCGCGTTGCGTCGGGTCTGCAAGGAAGTTGTTATGGCGCCAAATCGCGTCCGTACGCCGACAGAAGTCGACGCCTTGCGCTACGTATAGACTTTGCAGATCCTCATTTACACAGCACGTTTGCTCAAGGAGCCAAGCGACAACATGAGAAGAGTCAATGCTCGTACCTTTTGCTGGGCGGCAAAAGTCCCTGATGCTTTGATCAACTTCAGGGGGGGCAAAGAAACTAACTGACTGAGTGGTACGCAGTTGGCGGAGGCGCATAGCAGCTATCAATATGATTAGACGAACCGTTCTCAATTACATAGATACCCTTGGAACAATGGGGTATTAACTATAAGGTCTGGATAGTGAGCGGTACTTACCTTGCATGGTGTAGTCTTTAGTTTGCTTCAGTGCTAGGGTCAGTGCACCGTGGGCGTCTGGTGGCAGCTTCAGATCTACACCACGTGTATGCGCCTCGTCCAGATATACAACGCAGTTCCGAAGATCATCAACGAAGGGAGTAGCTAAGAGTGGAACATCGCTCTTTTTATCTCCTCGATAATGCACCCAGGCACGATTATCTGCACCAAAATAGACGGCGGCAGCGGCTTCGTGATCGATTCCTAGCCACTTCTGAGCCACTGTCCCATTGTCCATTTCGAGTATGTAGGCTCCTGCATCAATGAGGGTACGGATACCTTTAGTATATAATTGTGTTAACAGACCTATCTCGGTCAATCGCTTGCCTAGAGCGTCTGTAGTGACCTGATAGCCTCGGTTACATCGCTGTAGTAGGTATGAAAGAACCTCCGCGCTTGTCTGCCGTAGACTGGGAAGGTCGTCCTGCCGAATGGTGAGAGGAAGATTCAAACGGCCGTCATTGGTGCCGCTAAAGCCCGTCGTCCTAGCACCACGTTGGTCCTTGGAAAATAGTGGGATATCCCACGCCGAAACCTGCAATTTAATTTCGAACTGCCTGGCATGAACAGGGAAGACGAAATGGTTGCAATAATGGTCAATGACGACTCTACTCAGATGCAAATGGCTCCATAGCTCCTCTAGCTGCCCCCCGTCCTCGATGTTTATCACACTCCAATGGTGCAATGCCTCCGGTAAACTGTCACAACCGGAAGACCACAGCTCGTACTGTGCGGCTGGGTCATCTGATTGAAGAACATATTGTAGTCCTTGACGGAATTGCGCGGGGGTAAGACCGGTGTAATAAAATGCCAAACAAGTGAACAATATGGACACATCCGGATGACCGAACTCGGATTGCTCGGACGGAGTACCTTTAGCCTCGAAGGGCACTGCGATAGGATCACGGCCAGGATGAAGACCGTATTGAACATTCCATCGCTTGTTGAGGCAAAGGAGGAGGATCCGATTAATCAGGAGGCCTCGAACTAGAAGAAGTATCTTTGATGCCACCTGTGGGTTGACAAACGCATTAGCTGCCTGCATGAAAATACGTTCGTCTAACTTTGGCTCATATAGGACTCGCCGAATTATTCCCTGTCGGCCCCGGAAACTTGAATCTGCAGGACGAAGAAATGTTGTTTGTCCTCTACAGATACTTTCTAGTATGTAGTCATGAATGGCCTCCTGCACGTCATTCTTCAGAAAATGCAGGATCGGAAAAGATCCCGAGCGCCATAATACTTCAATACTAGTTGGAAATCTTTTTGTCAAGTTCGGAATATAATGGGCTACTGAAGCAAGCAACTCTTGGGCGACTTGCCATCGAAATGGGTGACCGTCTACAGCCATCTCGGGCCCGCTAGGGTAGTTAAGTTGCGTCTTAACTGCGAGAGTGAAATCGCATTCATCCAGAACATCTCGGCAGTTGTCGTCTAACCAGCGTTGGAAGTTGTTCATACCTCTTGCTGCTTTTAATTTGCCGTCCGCAAGTTGCTGCCATCCGCCCAGTTTGTATGACAGAACATGTTCATGGCTAGTGAGAATCAGTCCTCTACGAATACGAGTAAGCCGGTGAAGTTTCTCGTATAGTTCCAACATCTCAGGGGTTGTTGGGGTCTTCCGCGAAAAAGGAATATGAAGAACCTCACGCCCTACAAGACCTCCTAGTCGGGACTGTGTGGTTTGTGCTGTCTGCATAAGGAGCGCTTTTGGCACAATTAAACGCGAAAGATTTTTACCATCTGCTAGGACGGCTATAACCATCGGTACAATGCACGATGTTTTTCCTACGCCAATGTTAGCGCTAAGCCTGTAATAGCATCATCTTGCTATACCAGCCGATATACTCACCTTTGCCCATGTTCATTTGTAACACACTATTTTGACCAGATTTCGGCGCTATCATGGCACACGCAACATCTACCTGTTCGGCTCGTATAAGAAAGTCGCTATCAATTTCGAGCAAGAGCCAGTCTGTAGATTTGAATGGCGACCAGTTCTGATGACCTGGGTTACGCAGTTCCTCCTCAGATGCTCGCTTATCTCCGCGCAGAACTGCGGAGCGGAGCCGCTCTAGTCGTTGTAGACTTGTAATAGCTACTCCATAGGAAACTAGAGCCTTTTTCATCCCGACCCCAAAGTTGTAGGCTGATATAGATCGTAGGAATATAAGCATTTCGGTCGGCGATGTGCAAGGCCAGATAGCACCAAGACGCAGCCATTCGAATCGGTGATCTCCACTAGCAAGGGCGTCATAGATTTGTTTGTGATATTTCGAAACTGTGAGGCGAGCTCGCTCTATTGCGTAGTTAACCTCCTTCAGAGTTGGCACTGGACGTTGATCATCTAGCTGGCCTGTGTCTTTCAAGGCAGCTAGACTCTGCAGAAGATCGTTGCCGTATTTCTGCCGAATAACGTTGGCGGTCCTTGCGAACCTGCGTAGGATGGCCTCCAATTCAGTGGCTTCGTTGAATGTATTCTTTACTGGCGATGCCCGAATCCCGCTATACGCGGACTCGTTTC